GAAACAAACATTACATTTCTAATTTATCTCACTGTTTTTTTATACAAACGATAGTTAAAATATTGATGTTGTGTGGTTGCGTAAGAGTGACATGCAACTTAGTCATACATTACACTGTGATTACAGCTAATCAGGTCACAGAAATGCACAAAATATTATAGTGTTGTGACTGATCACCATAAGTGGACGCTAAGAAAACTGGAGTTGGGATTGACTATTCGACTTCTATAGTACCAGCAAACTGGTTTCCTTTTCTGGCACTATAGTTTCCCTTTAAATCTCAGAAAAGAAAATAACAAAATAAAAAAGTGTAATAATAAACAAGTGAACTTATGCATTTTAGAAAAATCGAGGTCCGTTTGAGGGTCAAAACAAGTCAAATCGTTGGAAGTGGAGTTCTTCCATTAAAAACCAGGTGGTAACTTGGAAAGTTTCATAAATAAAATAAAACTGTATCTTATTCAAAATCCGTACAGACAACCTAATCTAGGATGGTCAATAATGCGGGCATGAAATTTGATATGTATATTAAAAATTATATGCATTTCCTCCGAAATTTAATATATTTCTTTTAAAGCTCTGCTAAGATCAACTACACAAAAATGATCAAACTAGTGTCTCTTTAAAGACCTTTCCAATCTTTTTTTGCGAAATTGGAGATGAGCTATTCAAAATAACCCGTAGTGTTTACCATTGCAGCTTTTGTGCCAGCTGGACTCCCAGCATGGTCTGTTGATCCAGAAGTAATTGGTGATTTTTTTACTACCTTCAGACAATAACATTGCCTGCCAATTTCAATTCTAACCAGAGATAGATGAGAAAAGTGCAAACACACACTGTCATCTCCTTTTTACTACAAAATATAGTTTATATCGCTTGGAAAGAAAAATAGAATTTCTACAGCTCTTAACAGCAAGAAAATACAGTATCGCTCTTTGTAGACTTGGGTTCGTAGTCTTGCTTATAATGCTCTACACATCTCGAAAATGAAAAAGAATGTTAATAAAAACCATAAGATGCAGTGAGGGACAATCCTTTATGAAAAATAAAGCAACGGCATAGATCAAAAAGGGTACCAGGCATATATTCAAGTGTTCATTATTACTATTTATTGTTTTTATTTCTTAGAATTTATTACGGTGATATCTGAAGTTTTAGCAGAAGAAATTAGTAAACAAGAAAATATTTAACATGACAAAAAAAATCCCAAGATATTAACAATATGTTTTAATCTCCCACTGACTGGCATAGAATCTCCTAAATACAAGCCAATCTGTGGCGTTAATTTCCTCATTACTTCCAGACCATCTGTTGTGAAAACCATATGTGTATGAGTATATTTTACAAAAAAGATTAAACACCATGGGCTTCATTCCAGTGTTGTCGCTACTTTTTGCTGGCTAGCTGCTACTCGCGAAAAAGTCTGTTGTCACTGTTAGTAAATATCTGCTGTCTCCAAAGGCAAAATTTCACCAGTAATGATATTGAAATACTGGCTGCATTATTCTCTATGAGAGCTACTAACCTGGAGGTAGGCACTCACCGGCACTGCAGATGCGTTGCCAGCATTATGGCTGTTAGAGCATTATGAGCGCTGCATACATCCCATTAAATCAAATGAGAACACTGTGGCTGAGCGATCAAGCTTGGCAGGTGCTCATGGGAAACACCCAGAGTCTTAACAGACTTGGACATGGTCTACCTGCCCCCACGCTGATTGTGATCAGTACTGGGCTTTGCTAGCTGCCCAACACAGATCACAGTGCAATCGCCTGATTTTAGGGTTATGTTAATGCTGAAAATGGCCAGTAGTTGGCGGTCACCGATTTAACTAGGAAACCCATCTGCTGATATCAGTATTGATATTGGTAGAGGGTTTTCTTAAAGTTAGGGGTTGGATTAGGGGTAGGGTGAGGGCTAAGGTAGAATGATGGTTAATTGTAGCAGTAGGGCTAGTGTTAGGGTAAGGTAAGAGTTAATGCTGGGTTAGGGTTAACTTGGTTTTAGGGTTAGGGATAGTTTAGAGGTAAGGTTAGGAGTTAGGTGTTGCTACGCTACTTGGGTGATTTAAAATGGAACTCAACTGCAGCTTGTAAACTCCCTAATTACAATTGGGAAGAAACGGAGAATCTTTAAAGCATGGGCGTCCGCAGGAATTTTTCCAGGGGGGGGCATAATTGTAATGACATCCATGCTTGGTACTTTTTTGACAGTGTCATGAAAGGGAAGGGGCATAGCCATTATCACATAAAGCCAGGGTGAATAGCGTTTTCACAACTATGGTGTCAGGAATATATGTTTGCATTCCTGACACTATAGTGTTCCTTTAAGCAAATTAAAGGACCATTCTGGTCACCATAACAACATCACCTAAATGAAAATGCTATGATGCCAGGAAGCCCCTAGGTGCTCGCTTTCCTTTAAGGGGTTAAATCACTCTCAAGTGGTTTAACCCCAAAGGCTTCCTCCAGCTCCAGGTCGCTCAGTGGTATTTGGCTTCTGAAACAGAGTGTCAGGAAGTGCAGATTGACGTCAGGCATGGGTGCCGCTGATTGGCTAGAGTGGACAGTTGACGCTCTAAGCCAATCGCTAGTTCCCGGTTCATAAAATATTTTTACTTTTTTATGAATGGGGAGCTACTGATTGGCTTAGAGTGCCAGCTGACCGCTCTAGCCAATCAGCAACACCCCTACCCAACGGCACTCTGTGCTTCCTGACACTCAGTAAATAAAAGTGAACACATTAATACTGATATTTTTTTACCTTTGGAGATGAGAAGGTCCAGCGTTTCCCTGCCTGGCCCAGGTACCAAAGCCTTATGATGTGGTGTCCAGAATAAAGTGGAGGGTTCACTTCATTTGTCCTTCCTGCTCCAATCTCCTTTTCCTCTCCTTCATTTGACAGTCTTTTTTTTTCTTCTGACACCGTTTTCTATCCTTGACCTTTCTGCTACTTTCTGCTTATTTTGCGCCCTTCTGCTCCTTTCTCATTCTGATCCCTTTCTACTCCTTGCAGACCCTTTCTGGTCCCTTTTCTACTTTATCTTTGTGCTCCTTGCTGTCCCTTTCTGCTCCTTCTCCTACTTTACCTTTGTGTTCCTTCTGATTCTTTGTGCTCCTTTACCTTTGTGCTCCTTCCTGCTCCTTGCAGGCCCTTCCTGCTCATTCTCCTATTTTACCTTTGTGCTCCTTCTGCCCCTTCCAGCTCATTTCTGACCCTTTCTGCTCCTTCTACTTTACCTTTGTGCTGCTTTACCTTCCAGCTCCTTGCTGACCCTTCCTGTTCATTTCTGTTCCTTTGTGCTCCTTCTCCTACTTTACCTTTTGTGCTCCTTGCTGTCCCTTCCAGCTCCTTGCTGCCCCTTTCTGCTCCTTGATGTCCCTTCCTGCTCATTTCTGTTCCTTCTCCTTTTCTTACTTTACCTTCCTGCTCCTTGCTGACTCTTCATGTAGGCTGTCTCCCCATCCCTCACTTCCATAGGCGTGCGCACAGGGTGTGTCGGGTGTGCCTGGGCACACCCTAATCCCCGCGGCACGCCAATGGATTGAGACCGGCAGGGGAGATCTCTGGATCTCCCCGGTCGGCTCATGCAGAGCCGACGCTATCCGAGCGGCGGCTCTGGTCTAAGCCTCCATGGGCCGGTGGGGAGATCAAAGTTCTACCTCACCGGTCCACAGCAGCATGGAGGGAGGCAGCAGAGAACCCGGGCTAGAGTTCACTCTCCACTGAACCACCAGGGAAGGCAGCAGAACTGGGATATTAACTAATCTGCCCCCACCTCCACCCAAACATACAGCACACACACACACACACACACACACAACACCTACACACAGCACACACAGCCCACAAACAGCACCCACACACACCCAGCACACTAACAGCATCCTCACAAACACACAAAAGCCACACACAACACCCACACAAAAAACAGCACACTCACACACACACAGCACACTAACAGTTCCCTCACACACAGCACACAAACAGTTCCCTCACACACAGCACACAAACAGTTCCCTCACACACAGCACACAAACAGTTCCCTCACACACAGCACAGCACCCTCACACACACACAGCACCCTCACACACACAGCACCCTCACACACACAGCACCCTCACACACACAGCACACTAACAGCACTCTCACAAACACACACAAAAACACCCTCACCCACATAGTATACTACCAGCACCCTCACACAGCAGTGTATATATATACACACACACACACACACACACACACACACATATACATATGGCGTGTGTTTGTGCTTTAGGGTGCACACCCTAATGCAATAGGCTGCGCACGCCTATGCTCACTCCCCTAATCTATAGGCTGCTGCCCTACCCCCCCAAATCTATAGGCTGCTGCCCCCCCAAATCTATAGGCTGCTGCCCCCCCAAATCTATAGGCTATCTCAAACCCTCCCCCCATCCCTCACTTACCTGATCTGTAGGCTGTCTCTGGCTGCATGTGTTGTTCCCCTGCGGTTTCAATCAGCAGAGAGAAGCAGGGATAAGATGCAGCTTCCTATCCCTGTCTCTCTCCATACACAGCGCCACCTACTGGCCGGCGGCGGTATTGCAGTTCATTTTAAATCTCACACGAAAAATAGCAGAACAAGCTGAAAAATCCAGGGGGGGGGGGGCAAGTGCCCCCCTTTTCCCCCCCTGCGGACGCCCATGCTTTAAAGTATCAATACAGTAGCTTTAAGAAAAGAGAGAATCGCTGGTAACTTGATTCAACTGAAGTTTTAATAAGTGTTAAACTTAAATGAATTGCATTTAGGCAATAATCCAATAAGAGGAAGTGCAAGTAATCAACAACACAAAGTTCATTATTAAGTATTTCCTCAGAGATGCATTAAGTAACATTCTTTAAGTTCATGAGAATAATCTTCAATAGAAACAATAAGCAAGTAGCTAAGAATATTTGCAAAGCGAGAACAGTTCATAGTGAATAAACATGATGGGAGTTGTCCTCCATATAATTAGTAGCTTGAAGCAGTGAAGATTTGAGTAAGCAAGCATTAGTTCATTATTAAATGATATTGTAGACAAATAGCTGAAAGATATTCTTAAGGTTAATATGTGTAGTCTTCCAATAGTTCAGAGATATGGTCCACTTGTAAAGTAGCAAAGTATCCGTTCTCCAGTAATCCTTTATGGCATGCAGCAATCCTTGCATTGACTCAAAGGCTGGAACGGCTTGTCTGAGCTCGTGGAGAGGTAAGTCTGGTGGAAGTAGCTCCCAGTAGCTGCGCCTGTGGACCCCGAGGAGGCAGCTCACACACAATCACCAAGCACCCTCTCTCTGGCCCAGTCTCCCTAAATACCGTCAGAGCTGTGTCAGAGGGGGGCGGGGTCCGGCTCCTCACAGCTATGTGCCGAACCCGGAAGTGTTACTCCATGACAGGTGTGCAGTTGTTGTTGGTGTAAACATAGGCTTAAGGGTAGGGTTAGTATAAAGTTGTGGAGGTTGGTATAGAGTTAGTGACAACTACCAAAACCTAATTCAGATCCTAGACATATGAGGCATTTAACAACCAGGACTAATATGTGGATCTGTATTGAATTATTTCTCTTTAGTTGTATTGGATGTGTAAAATTATTATAAGCAAAAATGTGAATAAAATAGTATTTTTCCTTTTTTAACATTTTATTCCCACATGCTGTGTTATATATACACTTATAGGATATTAAATGAGAGCACTTCCTGTCCTTTAAAAACATTATAAAATATATGGTAGCACTTAAGGAAACCATTAAATTACACTAGAAGGAACAGCGCAAATTCTAGATTTTGTTTTGGTTCTGAACTTAGACGATTGCTTCCGTCTTTAAGGGGTTAGACAGATCTTCTTATTATTTTCCCATTACTCAAGTTTCATCGCCAAATGTTTAGGTTTCCTCAAAATAAATGATATACACATTGGTGAAGGATGGGACAAAAATGGCCCCTCTAATATCCAACAATTCTTACAATAAAGACATACTCAAAGGCAAAAAAGTTGTGCATAAAAAAAGGGATACTCTTTGACAAAAATCTTAGCTGTTTCTGGATTCCAGAGTCTCTCCCTTCCTTGAGAGCATTGATAATGATGAAGTAACACTTCCGCATGATGAATGTTAATCTTGTCCAACCTGGACAACACTGATTGAATGAGAACTCTAATTCCTGCACCTAATCAAAGTAGCCAATGCACCTTGCTTGCTTTAGGGGTTATGGTGCCAGGAGTACTTTGACGTCACCTATTGTAAGTGGTCAAATCGTGTTAGAGAGCTTTGACTTCTTACCTGGTGTCTGCTGGCCACCTACACTACTGACAATGAAGGACCAAAAGGTCCTACACAGACACTCCCATTAGCTCTTCCGAGGCTCGCCCTGCAATGTAGGGCTAATTATTCAGCCAAAGAGATAAGCAATGCACTGCAGGGCCTAGCTCAGACAAAGACTGCTGTAGTGTGAGCTAAGCATATGTTGCTGACGTATGTGTAATTGCCCCATATAATGTATGTAGACAATTTATATATTGCGTCAGAATGACACACTTGAAACCTAAAAGGTTTTATGTTGTGCAGAAGCCAGTTGTTCTACATTCTGACAAGTATCTCTGTAGCGCCATTAAACAGTAGGAAACATGACTCATGCAACAAGACATATTTTAATGTATTTCCAATAAAGAGCAATGACTCATTCGATAGCAAGTACAACGCAGCTGGTCCCACAACAGTGAGCTGGATTTTTTATAAACATGCTTTATTGAAAGAAAAAACACTAATGCACATATTGAATTGTCTAATTCTACTTTCTTTCAACAGCAGACTGAAAAACCTTAGCAGATTTGCGAGTCATCAACAAGAGAAAGTAATAGAATTATCCATCTGATGGCCACATCACTCCAGTTATAGTATGGTAATGGAACACGGACACAGTGCTGGAATGAGTCAAGGTTATATAAAAAAGCTATTACAATCATCTCAAAATAAGGATTCATTTATTTTCCTAAATTTATTTTCTCTCCTGAATCTCACCTAGCTACAAGGCAAGCTATGGAGTTTTTGTCACAAATTTTGTAAAAAAAAACCCAACCTTTTACTGGGATCCAGGGGAGGGCTGACAACTTGTGGCCTGGGGGGTAGACAAGGGGAGGGGTTAAAAAGTGCAATTTTTACCAACCCACCCCCCACTCATTAAATGGGTGGATTTAAATAGGTATATAGATTGAACCAAGAATAATCCAATTCTTCTGTGAATAGAAATATTGATTAATGTTCTATTCTTCTGAAAGGTCCTCCTCTGGTATGATACCAACTTCATGGTTGAGAAGGTCAGTAGTATAATACTCTGTATCAAAAGTCATTCCAATGAAAGTTCCTTTTCCAGATAGATACCTTGGAATTCCATGTTGCTTACAATGATAAAACGGGTATTTTGGTGAAGGGGAACCACTGGCATGTGGGCAACCTATATTACTAACAGTATGATATTACAAATTTTGTCTTTTAATCTCGTGTTAATTTCTTAATTAATTATCCCTGCAGGTATATTGGCACTTTAATTTACGATGTAGAGCCACAACATAGCACTTCAAAGCTTTAGTGTCATATTTAACGTTAAGCGTTTTTTAATCTCGACATGATTGATTACATCTATGCTTGCTGTGAAACATTGTATCATATAATATCCAATATACAGATATGTTTGGTGTTACAATTATTCAGCAACCAGGAATGCATGATTGGTGGTTTAATTTCCAGAAGTAATAGATTACGAGCAATTTGAAACTATAGGATGCTTGGAGGATTCTTGGTCAAGATCATGGATCTTTATGTAATACTTCATGATAATGGGAGTTTCTAGTAAGTACACTGTCTGTCTGTAATTCAAAAAGTCGAACTAGTAATATGAATGAACGAATGGCACATTCATTCGTACACACTCGTTAGTTTGGCTCAATTTCATCAGATTTGGTGGGAGTGAGCAGAACTAACGAATGGAAACAGAATGAATATGCCGTTCGTTCATTTGGTTACTCGTTCAACTTTTTGAATTACACAGACAGTATAATACAAAAGGCCGAATGAACGAACAAACAATTGGCTCATGGAAGAGTTTTGTTAGACGCATATTCGTTTGTTCGTTTGTCTATCCATTCGTTATTCGGTATTCGTACAACTGGACAAAAATGCAGATTTTCACCAGAAAATCCATTCATACGAATACGAATGCCCAAGTCTACTTCATATAGCTAATAGATTCATATAACTTTATATAACTGATATAGGTATGATCTTGATGGCGGGTTAGTTTTGCATGGTCTGTTGTTTATAATATGCAGGAATGTTGGATACAGTTGTTGCCTATTGATAGGAAAGAACCGAGACAGATTTCTGTTCTCTCCAATATTTTGGAAAAAAATAAAAAGTTATATAAGGTCCTAAAAATAAAACAAGAACATAGATTTCAGGATATCTGTAGTAATTATTTCTAAAGATTATTAGTTATATGAGTTTTTCTGCTAAGGGCATTGGTTGGGATTGAACCGTTATTGTTAACAGAGATACACATACTGCTCTGTGAAAAGTAATTATGGGTTCCAGATATGACTAAAGGGCTCTCAGACAATCCACCCTGAAAGGACAAGTTGTATAGTAGTGGGATGAGTGGGCAGGGAAGCATTAACAGTCATTACCATGTGTGTTTGCAAAAAGTATACTGACACCTTGTGATAGTGCTGAGCATTGCAGCCAATCATCCCATCACGCCCATATTTTGGATGATTAATATGTCCCCATTGTTAGTAAAAAGCAGTTCCCCGGAGCTGGCCAATGCCTCTTAAAAGGATACTGTAGGCACCCAGACCACTTTAGCTCATTGAAGTAGTCTGGGTGCAGTGTCCCTGTCCCCTTAACCCTGCAATAGTAATTATTTCAGTTTCTGAGAAATTGCAATAATTACCTTGCAGGGTTAAGACAGTATCTAGTGGCTGTCAATCAGCAGCCATTAGAGGCACTTCCGGGTTGTTACGCGACTTTTGGTCGTCTAGCTGATGCTGGATGTCTTCACGCTCTGCATGAGGACATTCAGTGTCAGTCAATTCCCCATAGAAAAGCATTGCAGCATTGCATTGGCGGGCATTTGCATTTTGATCCAATAAAACGGCTTTGATTTGAAATCTGAGTGCTTGAAACCTCTTCTTGGATGTTTCATATGCGTAGGACTTGCTGGTCCTGCTTCTTTTAAAGCACCCTTTGGCTTCTAAGAATTGAGTGCGGTCCACAGTCATTATGTTGAAAATCCTTGCTTGCAGTATCTGGAAATGATCGGTTCCCCGTAAACCAGTTTAATTAATTGATTTCACACATATAACAACATGGCCAGGCCATGCTCAACTCTCTACCACACATGGTGTAGATGAGACACAGATGTAACCAGACTCGGGTGCTGATAGCGTAATCACAATGATTTTATTATTAACATAACATAACACGAATATAAATACAGATGTGACCGCACATTGTCAACATATGAATACACAATACAATCTTTAGCAGTAGGTTTTTTTAATCATAATATTACATTGCATTATACATTATATTATTATTATATTGTATTTGCAGAAAATAATGCGTTCAGTTCAGGGAAACCATTTCATTACTTTGAACACGAAAATATTTGTTTAAGTTTTATCCTGATTGTTATTTTTTTTTACTTTTTTGAGATAAATATATTCATTATAAAGTGCTTCATGTATTTATTATAGTTTCCTTACCGTCTCAATGTGCTGTATTGTATTGGGAGATAAGCCAGCTTTTCAGTTAATTTAATCAGTGAAGACTGCTATGTGTAAAGGAATTAATTGAAGCACTGAGCAGTCACAATTTGTCCATCTAATTTCACTTCTGCTGTTAATTAACCAAATTCAGGAACTGAAGTGACAACACTTTGCAGTATCAACCTAATTCATTTAACACCACAACAGAGATGACCTTTTAACACTGAAATGTTTTTGTTAAGTCTTGAGACATTTTAACCCCCGTAAGGACTGGACTGTTTTTGCGATGTTGTACATTTGCGACCAGGCCTCTTTTTACACTTTTGTGGTGTTTGTGTTTAGCTGTAATATTCCGCTCTCTCATTTACTGTTCCCATACAAATTACCGTATTTATCGACGTATAACACGCACCAGCGT